AAGAGAATCACCTAAGCCCAAGAGCTGGAGGTTGCTGTGAGCTGTGATGCCACAGCACTCTACTGAGGGCGACAAAGTGAGACTATGTCTCAAAAACAATAATAATAATAATAATCTCTCTCCTATCAAGCTGTTTGGAGAGTCAGATGACATGGTTCATAAGAAGCTCTTGCGTGTGTCTGGCACATGTGAGCACACAGTGCCCAGAAGGTGCTAACCAGTTGGTGGGCACCTGCCATGTGCTGAGTGGTGTGCCAAGACCCAGTAGGCTAGTCGTTAGAAAGACCTGGTCCCTGGGCTGTGAGCCCTGCAGGCTCAGAGACCTGGAGAGTAACTCCCTGACCAGGAGTTCCAGAGCCAGCTGGGGGGCAGGGGGCAGCCCTGCTGGAGGCCTGGAGGTCCCTGCTGATGCCCAAGGCCATGTGGCAGGTGTGGCTCTTTCTAGCTGTAGATGAGGCAAGGGTGGGAGATCCCTAAGCTATAGGTTCCCCAGGCTGAGGGTAGGTGCAGCCTGCTGTTAGCAGTGTGCATTGTACAGAGAACACCGTCTAACATGTATGTGGGATCACACACATCTCACTGAAAATCCTTCAGCACACAGTCTCTCTACAGCAGGGCAGTCTCATCTTTCCCACAGTCGCCCTGCACGCTCTGCTGTAGCCACACAGCTGCCTCTATTCCTTGGTACGTCCAGATTCTCCCCTGCCCTAGGGACTTTGCTGCCCTCTTGACTACCTGACACCTCCCCATCCTCCCAGCTTCCTTCCTAAAAGTTCCCAAGAGGCCTTCCTCAGCAAGCCTACCTAGGGTCGGCCTCCTGGTCTACCTGTCTCGAGCCCTGTTCATTTCCTCATTCATTTCTCCATTTTACTTCCTGGTCTCTGAAACCACCTTCCTAATTTATTGTCTGCTTTCCCCACCAGAATGGTGATGTCTCTCTCCTTCACAGTTGCATCTTGCTCCAGGCAGGAAGCAAGTGACGCATTCCATTGTGAATTTTTAGGAAGGGTTAATAAAGGTTTGTGGGCAGGATAAAAGAAACCAGCAGAGACACCAAAGCCTCCAAGCAGCAGGAAGTCGCTGCTCTGCGGGCAGTGGGGGAACCTGCTGGCAGAGCAGGGTGAGAATGCCATGTCCAGAGCCACACTGTATTCATCACAATGTAACAAATTATCCCGAAACTCAGTGGCTAGAAGCAAAGGACATGTGTTGCTGTACAGCCTCTGTAGGTTAGGCATTCAGGGGCAGCTTAGCTGGGCAGTTTTAGCTTAGGGTCTCTCGAGGCATCAGTCAGGGCTGCAGGAATCCGAAGGCTTGGCAGAGGGTGGCAGGTCCACTTCCAAGATAGCACATTATAGGGTTGTTGGCAGGAGGCCTCATTCCTTGCCCTAAGGGCCTCTCCACAGGACCGCTTGATTCCCCTTGCATCGTGGCTGCTGGCTTGTGCCAGAGCAGGTGGTAATAGGGAAGCCGCGGTAACTTTTATGACCTCATCTCAGAAGTTGCAAACCATCACTGCTGCCATTGTGTAGGTTCTGGTGTCACCTGGGCCAGCCCTGATCCACTGTGGAAGAAGATGGATGCTGGGGGTGAGGACTGGTTTAGAGGGTGGCATCACTCATGCTGAAGTAGGGAGGGAAAAGTCTCCAGAGCTCAGCCCTCTGAGCACAGGGAAGGGCAGGGAATGGGCAATGGGGAAGGAGTAAGCAGAGAAAACCAGCACAGGGTCCCCACCTCTGGAACGGTGCCTGGTGCTCAGTGAAGTGAGCAGGGCAGTCAGCATTTGACAGGTGGATGATGGAATGAACTTAGAAATGAATGAGGGACACCTTTGAGTGTAGGCAGTGGAGGGCTTGGGGTCCCGGGGCAGTTACCAAGGCGCATGGGGTGTGAAGATGGTAGATGGCAACCTTGCCTGGCGGTGCAGAGATGGAGCAGTGTCAGGGGCTGGGGAAGGCCTGCAGGTCGCCTGGAGCATTTTCCCTGCAGGTCTGTGAGAAGGCTCCAAATACATTCATTCTTCCCCAGGGCCCTGGCAGTGTCACTGGGCGGGTCTGAAGAGGCCCCACCGCACACTCAACCCAGCAGTGTCCTAAGTTTCCCTGACTGCACCCTACCCACAGCACACTGGCTTTGGGCTGGCTCAAGCCTGGAAGAGAATCAGCCCCAACAATACTGTGGTGTCACCTCCTGGCTGCCCACCCGGCCTCCCTCCCTGTTCACTCTGCACCCTGCAGGGCTGCCTGTGTCTCCAGCTTACTAGTCGAGGTTCAAGCAGTGGAGGAGTTTTGCTCAGTGTCAAGTCCGGGTTCCAGGGAAAGGGCTCGTCTGTCATCCTAGTCAGCAGTGAGGTCTGGTCACACAAGAGGGCTGCTGGTTGACCAGGTATGGTGGCTCATGCCTGTAATCTCAGCACTCCAGGAGGCCAAGGTGGGTGGATTCCCTCAGCTCAGGAGTTTGAGACCAGCCTGAGCAAGAGGGAGACCGGGTCTCTACTAAAAATAGAAAATACTAGCCAGGCATGTGGCAGGTGCCTGTAGTCCCAGCTACTCAGGAGGCTGGGGCAGGAGGATCACTTGAGCCTAGGAGTTTGAGGTTGCTGTGAGCTATGGTGCCACCACACTCTACTCAGGGCAATAGGCTCTGTCTCAAAAATAAATAAGAGGGCTGCTAAGCTGCACCACTTTAGAGGAGAAGAAAGTTCCCGGAGGATAGGGCCACAGCCCCAGCCAGTGCTGGGCACAGGGCACCTGGACGTGTAGGACAAGGCGATGCTGGTATCACAGAGCTCGAGCCTGGGTTGCAGCTCTTTCTCCACACAATGTTGCAACCTTGCAGGAAGGACACTTCCTTTCCTCCCTTCCCCACCTTCTCCTATTCCTCCTGCACAGCTGGAACAGTAGTAGGTGGTTGAGCTAAAGGCTTTTCTGGTTATAAGTGATAGGAACACCTTGAGCTCAGCTAAGCCAAAGACAAGACAAGCTCTGTCAGGGCAGGGAGCACCTGGGATGGCGGTTAGGAGACAGCACCGGCCTTGGTGCCCTCTGATGAGATCTGGGTCCCGATTCCTTCTTACAGACTGTGCTGCTGGCCTGCTAACTCCTTTATGCCTCAGTTCCTTCACACGCCAAGTGGGCATGTGAGTAGTACCTACTCCCTGGGATTCTTGTGAGGTACAGGACTGTAATGAGTTTGTAGGGGCAGAATGGGCTGACACCCTTCCTCACCCATTATAAGGGGCGCAGCTGACACTTAACAAAAGAAAAGCATAACAGATTTATTTAATCAAGGTTCTATGTGACTCAGGAGACTTCAGGAATGAAGCTCTGCTGGGTATGGTGCCTCACACCTGTAATACTGGCTCTGCTGGGTATGGTGCCTCACACCTGTAATACTGGCTCTGCTGGGTATGGTGCCTCACACCTGTAATACTGGCTCTGCTGGGTATGGTGCCTCACACCTGTAATACTGGCTTTGCTGGGTATGGTACCTCACACCTATAATACTGGCACTTTGGGAGGCTGATGTGAAAGAATCACTTGAAGTTCAAGAACAGTCTGGGCAACACAAGACCCTGTCTCTTAAAAAAATTAGCCAGGCATAGGGATGTGCCTGTCATCCCAGCTGCTCAGAACGCTAAAGTGAGAGGACTGCTTGAGCCCAGAGTTCAAAGCTGCAGCAAGCTAAGATCCCACCACTGCACTCCAGCCTGGGCAACAGAGTCAGATTTTGTATCTAAAAAAAAAAAGAAAGAAAGAAAAGAGAAAAGAAGACTCCAAAACCCAGGGAAACTTTTTATTCTCAGGTCTGCTGACACCATCAGACAGTAGGCAGCCCTGTAAAAGGTGACTGGTCGAAGGGCCTGTTGTAGTCACCGGGAGGGGAGCGGCAGGGCCGCGGCTCAGATTCCACTTGGCCTGTGCCGCTATTCCTTCCTCTCCAGTGTGGAGCAGTTCCCCTCTGGAAGGAGGGTATTCAAGGGGGAAGGGAGAGCAACCTTTTTAGGTTTTGTGGCTGGCTTTGGTGAGAGGGGTTCTGGCTTCTATGAGCTTCCTAGGCAAAGAGGAATCCTGGGGGACAGGAGAGGACAGGAGAAGGACAGAGGGACCTTGCTTCCGAGTCCTTCCATTTCCTTTGTTCACAGTGCTCGGCATGCCAAGGTGCAGTACTTGGGGTGTCATGTTCTGAACCCCAAGCAGTTAACATATGCGATGCACAGACATGTTTAATGTGTTCCCGATGCTATTGTTTATTCAGTTTGGACAAGCAGACGGGAACTCTCACTTCTGTGAGAACATTGGCGCACGTCTAGTCTCAAGTCAGCTCTGTTAGGTGACTCTGTCTATTGTCCCCGTTTGGCCAGGGAGGAGTCTGCGTCTCCCTGCTCCCTCCATCCTCCGCGGTAGCGGCAGAGCCAAGTCATCACGAGCCGCGCCCTGCGCGCGGCTGCCCCCTTGTGGCTGTGGCGCGGCATTGACACCTCCTCTTCCTCTTTGTTCCCTTCCTGCAAGGCTCAGCTGCCCAGGCCTTAGCGGGTGGAGACGGAGGGCCCCTGACCAGGATCTTGGAAACTCTGGGAAGCGGTTGGAGGAGGAGGGGCAGCTGAGGAGCTCCGTTCTCAACTTTGGAGACTGGCAGCGTTCTGTCCTTGGGTAGGGAGCTCCCGAGTGATGCTGGCCAGATCACCCAATTCCACCTGTCGCACTTCTCCACTGTGGCTGCACAAGGGAATCACTTGAAGAACTTTTAGAAATCCCTGTGCCCCAGCTGCCCATCATCACTTAGGTGGCCAGGATATCAGTGTCTTGGGATCTGGTGTACAAGGTTCCAAGGCGGCCCTAGGGGTGCCATCTCTGGTGTCACTTTCCATTCTCCCTTTGGCCTCCAAAGTCAGCCTTCACCCTGGCCCCCACCACAGCCGCCCCTCCTTGAGCCTGTGCTGGCTGAGGGGATCTGATCCCACTGGCCACCCCTCCCCTTGGTGCCCAGGCTCTGCTTCCTTCTCCTCTCACTCCTGTGTGTCTGGTGGCCCCCACATTCCCCTCGGCTCATTCCCTGGCCAGGGTGCTCATAAGCTGCTGATGGATGTATTCAGCTCGGACCTGTCTGGAGCCCCTGCCTGATAAATCCAATGGTATCCCCAGCTGGGGGTTCCAGAGGCCCCTCAACTCATCATGGCCCTGCATGAGTGGGTCATCCCCTGCCCTTCCTTTCTGCCCTCTTCTCCTCTGAAGCCCTCTTCTACCCAAAGTCTCAATCCTCCCAAGACCCCTGAGCTCTTGCTCAGATTGTTTCCTCTTCACTCAGGGATGCCTTGTGTTTTCTGTTTCCATAGAATAATCACTAACCCACCTGCTCTTAAAAGCTCAGCTCACATTTGAGTGGAGTTTTCTCCCTTCTTTCCCCTACCCAAGTTCACTGTGCAGGTGCAGCACGGTATTCGCTGACCGAGCCAGCCTGGAGAGCTTGCTGCATGCTGGGCTCTGCCCAAAACACAGTACAAGTCATAACTCACTTAACCCTCACAAAAACTCTTGTGAGATCCCCTCACAGATGCCCATCAGAAGCACAGAAAGGTCAGGTGTTTGCCCAAGGCCACACTTTGTGACTGAAGCCAACTGGACTCCACGCAGTATGGCCCCAAGTGTGTGCTCTTTACTACTTTGCACGGCTCCTCCATTAGCAGAAGGATCCTGGGAGTCACATAGCAAAGCAGGCTGCTGAGCACTCACTGTGTGGCCGGGGGCTACACAGGTCACGGCGTTGACCCTACCCTCACCCGAGCCGTTGGCCACACATGGGTCTCTGCCGGGCTCTTGCTAACGCTTGGCCATGGCACAGGATGGTCTGGCAGAAGCACCCTCTTGGTCCACACTCCACCCCCACACCCCTAGATGGATTCACACCCCTGCTCCCCCACATCCCCTAGGTGGATTCACACCCCTGCTCCCACACATCCCCTACATGGGTTCACACCCCTGCTCCCACACATCCCCTACATGGGTTCACACCCCTGCTCCCACACATCCCCTACATGGGTTCACCCCTCTGCTCCCACACATCCCCTACATGGGTTCACCCCCCTGCTCCCCCACCCCCCTACATGGGTTCACACCCCTATTCCCACACATCCTCTAGATGGGTTCACACCTCTGCTCCCCCACCCCCCTAGATGGGTTCACACCCCTGCTCCCCCACCTCCCTGGATGGATTCACACCCCTGCTCCCACACAGCTCTGGTGCAGGGCCTGTTGGACTGACTTCCGCGGGGGACATGAAAGTTAGGAGTCCCTCCAGGGTCTTCCTGCTGCACCCTTTATCCCAGTGTCTCGGTTTGGGTGGGCAACCCTAACAAAATACCACAGACATTAATTTTCTCACACTTCAGGAGGCCAGAAGTCCAAGGTTGGCAGGTTTGCTTTCTTTTGAGGTTTTCTCCTAGGTCTGTAGATGGCCACCATCTAACTGTGTCCTCACGTGGTCTTTCCCTCTATACTTGTGTGTCCTGGTTTTTTCCTATAAAGACACCAGCCGTATTGGATCAAGGCCTCTCCTATGACCTCACTTTATCTTAATCACCTCTTTAAAGGCCCTGTTTACAATTAGTCATATTCTGAGGTATTAGGGGTTAGAACATCATATAAATTTGTGGGGACACAATTTAGCCCATAATGCCCAGAGTCCCAAACTCAAATACTGATGGGCCAGACAGGTCACGTGGATGAATGAATTGGGCTGGGAAAGACCTCCACCCTCACTCTTTTATCTTCCTACATTTGAGAAAAAGCTAAAAATATTTCACTTTCCTCTTTACCATGTGAAATACAAGAACAAGGATGTTCATGGCCATATCCCAGATTCCTAGAAGTGCCTGGCACCTAGTAAGTGCTCAGTAAATATTTGTTGAGCAAGTGACTGAACAGGATGGCCCTTGGAGAATGGCAGAGACCTGGGTGGATCCTGGCCAAGGAGTCAGTGGGCACTCAGCTCCCACCGTGTTAGACTGCCTGAAATCAAGACTTAGATACATAAATCTGTTTCTCAGTGCTAGCAACTAATCCACAAAAACTAAAACCATTGGAGCAGCGCCTGTGGCTCAAGGACTAGGTGCCAGCCCCACACACCAGAGGTGGTGGGTTCAAACCTGGCCCTGGCCAAAAACTACAACAAAAACCTAAAACCATTGTACTGACTGGTTGCAACCACTGCTGTCTGTTAGGGTCATCCACTCAGCCATGAGGAGCTGTGCTGTCCCAGGGGTGACAGGAAGCCTAGGGGCAGGGCCAGTGTACCCCCAGCTACTCCAGCGACTCAGGACCTACCCTCTTCTGCAGGAAGGTGATGCACTAGGTGCCATGGAGAAGCTGTGCCGCCAGCTGACATACCACCTCAGCCCCCACTCCCAGTGGAGGCGACACCGGGGGCTGGTGAAGAGGAAGCCACAGGCCTGGTGAGTTGCAATCCCCAGTGCCTGTATGCCAGGCTGAGTGTGTGACACATGGGGCGCCTCCCTGGACTAGAAGAAGGGCGGAGCCAGAGGGACGCTTGGAAGGAGGACTCAATCAGGGGAACAGCCATGAGGGCATTCCAGGTGGGCATGAGGAGCTGCAAGAGGACCCTGGCTGTAGGGTGGGAGCTGGGGAATATGGGCCCACTTAGAGGGGACTGGAAGTGAGGGGGCATGAGCAGCTTCTAATATCTGGTGTACTAAAAGTGGGCACTCCCAGCTAAACCCCCCAGTTCTCTGGGGTGTCCCCAGGGGGCCCAGATCTAAACCGTCTCTGGTCCATACAGCAGCAAGGACTCTCAGGGACTTGATAGTCCCTGAGAAGATTGGTTGTGGAGGGTGGCACATAGGACACAGACCTTGTGAGTTACAACTTACCTTGTGAGTTACAACTGGTAGGTACCATAGGAAACAGAGGGAGGTACCCTGGAAGGCTTCCTGAGGGAGGAAGCGCCCCTGCCTTTTTTGCAAATGACCATAGGCAGGGTGCCTGGCCTTCAAAGACTCTTTGGCAAGGTCTTGATGCTACTGCTGGCTCAGCTTGTTGGTCCCAAAGACGGGGAAGGGAAGAACTGTCCCTCTCCCTCTTGGAGAAGAGCAAGCTCTGGCACCTCCTTCCACTCTGGCCACTGCTACCCAACACTGGGAAGGAGACACCTGGGAGGCTCGTATGGAGCTGGCCACGGCAGGAGCTCCACCTGGGTGGAGGGCAGGGCCACATATTGAGATAGAGCAGGACAGGGGGTATGGAACCTGGACTCCAGGAGCCTCTTCTGTCTCCCCAACATGTGGGCAGTCAGCCATTCTTCCTTTGGGAGCCATTGAAAATGAGGTCTCGGCTCGGCGCCTGTGGCTCAAGCGGCTAAGGCGCCAGCCACATACACCTAAGGTGGCGGGTTCAAATCCCCAGCCCAGGCCCGCCAAACAACAATGATGGCTGCAACCAAAAAATGGCCAGGCGTTGTGGCGGGCGCCTGTAGTCCCAGCTACTTGGGAGGCTGAGGCAGGAGACTCGCTTGAGCCCAGGAGTTGGAGGTTGCTGTGAACGTGATGCCATGGCACTCTACCCAGGGGGACAGCTTGAGGCTCTGTCTCAAAAAAAAAAAAAAAAAAGAAAATGAGGTCTCCTTTCCCTCTGGTACTTTCTCATCACACTTAAAAGCAATCCAGATGGGGCCGTTTGTGACCTGTCCTTCCCCCACTCCCCAGTCCCAACTACACCAGCTTCCCAGGTGGTTCACAATCACACCCAGCCCTTTCCAGCCTTAGGGCCTTTCCCTCTTGTCCTGGAAATTCTTCCAACTCTCTGATGGCCTGCGCCTTCTTTTTCTTCCCTTCAGCTCAAATGTCACCTCCTCCCTCCACATAGACCCACTGCCCAGCTACTCTATCACTTTTCCCTCAAGTTTGTGGTCTGCCTCCTCCCCTCCCCCCAAGAATGAAAGCAGAGATGGTCCATCCCGTTAGTGCCTGGCTCCCAGTAGGAGCTTAACACACACTTGTTAAAGAAATGAATGGGGCAGAAGACAGCACTGTTGCTGTTTGACTCGTATGGGTGGGGCTGGGCTGGTCAGCATGCGGTCTCCCTGGGGTATTGGGTCTGCTTTATTAACACTGACACCAGCAGCCAACAGTTAAGTCATGCTGAATAGATGCCAGGCGGTATTCCAAGCACTTCAGTGTCATGACTTGAAAGCCTTACTTTCAAACACCCTAGGGCCGGACCCCAGCCAGAGGCAAAATGAGCAAACTGTGGACAGCTTCAGATCCAAGGACAGGGCCCTATGCTGCCTTGCCAGGAGGCCCAGGCTGACTCTTGAGCTGCTGCTAACATGTGCTCTTTGAACAGGGTGGGAACCCCCTCCCAGGGCGCTTGGAAATGTGGGGAATGAGCATCTCACCACCACTAGCAAACAGAAGGGCTGGTGGAAAGGACACACTCACTGGCCATCAGCTGGAGCAGCCTGGGCTCTGGACCAGGGCAAGAAGCAGGGAAAAAAAGGACAAGGGTGCAGCTAGCAGGGAGCAGGATGGGTGAACAGTCAGCCCCGGGCCGATGCCCCTTGGCCCCCTCCCCTGCATGCCGTCCTGCAGGGTTTGCCCTACAGATCCCCCCACATGGTGGGAAAGATGGGGCCTTAGAGATTCTTTGTGCCAATCCTGGGGCAACTCAGCTACCACCCAAGGGTGGTAGAAGCAGGAAGCTCAACCCAAGTGATTAATAATAATAGCAGCAGTAGCAAATATTTGTTCATCACTTACCTATATATTGTTCTGCTTTACATATATTAACTTCATATAACAACCCCATTGACTCCATTTTTTAGGTTAATAACTGAGGTGCAGTTTAAGGTCACAGAATAGGAAGAAGAAACGTGAAGATGTAAATGCAGACACCCCTCGTGGAGACAGGAAGGGCACAGACCTTAGGTTCCGGTCAGCCAGGAACCTAAGGTCTGTGGGGTAGGGCCAGGGGCCTGGACCTCCCTGAATTCTCCTTTGAGTTTCATCTGCAAGTTTTATAAAAATGATCCCTAGAAGCAGAGAGCACTACTACTTCTGAGGAGGCTTGTACCACGTGCTTGACTATGCCTGTCCCTTTCCCTCCAGCCTCAAGGCTGTCCTGGCCGGAAGCCCTCCAGACAACACAGTGGACCTGTCAGGCATCCCACTGACCTCCCGTGACCTAGAACGGGTGACCAGCTATCTGCAGCGCTGTGGGGAGCAGGTGGATAGCGTGGAGCTGGGCTTTACAGGCCTCACGGACGACATGGTCCTACAGCTGCTGCCCGCACTCAGCACCCTGCCCCGCCTCACCACGCTGGCACTCAACGGCAACCGGCTGACGCGGGCATTGCTACGGGACCTCACTGACACCCTTAAGGACCCCAGCAAGTTCCCCAATGTCACGTGGATCGACCTGGGCAACAACGTGGACATCTTCTCTTTGCCCCAACCCTTTCTGCTCAGCCTACGCAAGCGGTCCCCGAAGCAGGGCCACCTACCTACTATCCTGGAACTGGGCGAGGGCCCAGGCAGTGGGGAGGAGGCCCGGGAAGGGACAGTGGACCAAGAGGACCCTGGAGGGTGTCCTGTGGCCTTGGCCAAAGACCACCATGAGGTCAAAGAGACTATAGCAGCATTAGAGACATGACATGGAAGTGAAGAGCCTCACAGGGAGCCCCACTGGGGTAGAGATGGCCAAGGCTGGCCAGGGGCTCCCGTCAGGAGGCTCAGGCTATTGCCAAAATTGGCCTGGCCAACCCCGTCACAGAAAGGCAGGCCACAGCATCTGGGCAAGGGGCCTTTTACTTCTTGTTCCTCTCCATCTGCCCCCTATAAATCACACTAACTGCCTTTTGGCTCCTATGAAGTCATCCCTGGCTTGAAGCTCCAGACACCCTTTCCCCAGTCAGCCCTTTGCCTCCCCAAAGGCTTATGAGAACAGGCATATTGTATGTTGAGTGCCAGCAGGTTGAGCTCATTGCTCATGTGAATGCTTTTCCCCAGTATAGTTGGGGCCCTAAAAGTAACCCAGATGTTCCTATTCTAGGTCACTTGTTTTATCTAGGGGAGTAAACTCCAACGAAATGCTGAAGGTGGCTCGGCGCCTATAGCTC